TTTGCTGTGGGTGCAGGAGAGCCAAAACTAAACCCCTGACGAGTAAAATAAAAGATGATTGGTCATACGAATCCTCGTTTGCTGCTGCATCATTTAGATCAGCTTATCTCAAAACATTTTTGATTGCGTACCCCTAAGATGAAAATAATTATAAGTTGTATCCCGCATAATATAAAATAATAATATATATATGTGTATATACACACACACACATATATTATATATATATATATATTGTATTTACTGTGTGTGTATATATATATATATATATTTTGTACTGTGTGTGTGTGTATATATATATATATATATATATATATATATATATATACCCTCTCAACTCAGAATTAATAACCATAGATCTCATATCAAAAAATTTAAAAATAACAACAATAATAGCACAAAAGATAGACAGCATACAGCAATACTTGAGCATTATCATTTACATAATTTTGATAACATAGAAATTAATGTGCTTGATATTGTACCAAACACCAAACTTAGACTATTTAAGGAATCAATTTACATACTTCAAAAAAAGTCACTGTATCCTTACGGACTAAATGCCTATTTAAGTAATACCACCAATAGACAGTCAGAAATCTCTATATATGGACAATTCAGATTTTTTAGCAATACTACTACCAGAGGATCGAGAGGAGGTGATTCCAAAAACAAAAATTAATTTTTCAACGCAGGATCTGAAATTAATTATTAAAAATCTTAATTCCTACCTTGAACATAAAGAATTCGCTAAAAATGCCATTAAACTTCTTCATACCTTTAAGAATACTACCTTATGGAATCTGATTAAAATGATAGAATCAACTTTCTCAATGTTTCAAAATAGTCAAAGATCTGATTATTGACTTTTGCAATTTTATACTTAAGAATAGTAATTTTTTTCGCAAAAAACTATTTTTTGTACTATTCAGTTCAAGCACCCTTCTTACGATCAGCTAAAAATACCTAGCATATTTAAAAAAATATCAATACTTGCTTCCTGACCAACAACTTCAAATTAAGCCCTGTTTTAAATTTGAAAAGACCTTAGGTCAACTAGTTATCAACCACCACGTTATACAAGAAAATAACATATGTAATTGCCTAATGCCTGTCTACAATAAATATGTCGATCCTTTCCACCAACATGTTATTACTGGAGATCTCAATATCATTGAAGATATAGAATTACGAACCCTTATGCAACTTGGCACCAAATTTCGTCCTACTTTCGGTATTAATAAGCACTTTTGCTTCAAACAATTCAATAATGATCTTGATAAATTTATCATATTAGCTAGTAAATAGATCCAATTTGCCTACTACAACTTTTCTTGAATGGAAAGCTGCACTAATTAAAGAATTTCAACATTTGCTTTTCAAGTCCCCTTATTTCAACTCTTTACACAAAAAAAGCATCTAGAGGATCTTATTCAAAAACTGCAAGATAACTTTATCACACGAAGATTGACAAAGCCAGCAACAATTTTAGTGTTACTTGTAAACAGTTTTATTTCAACCTTCTGCATTAACACATGCACTTACCAAAAAATTACTACCAGCACTAAGATTCTTCTAAATAAATTTAACGCATTACATAAAAGACTTAAAATACATCCCCAGAAATATAACAACAGGTTTGCAAATCTCTATGCACTACCAAAAGTTCATAAGTCTCCGATAAAATTCAGGTTCATAGCTAATAGTACCAAAAGTTATCTTAAAGAAATTGATTATCTTTTTGCACAAAAACTTCGACTAATGCATGACCTAATTAATAACTATAATTTTAAGGATCTGCCTTGCAACTGGATGATTTCAAGTAACGAACTAGTTCTGAAAACTGTAAATTCACTCAAAAATAGACCACATCCAATGCTACGACTTTGAAAACCTCTATACTACCTTACCACTTGAAGAAATATTTGCAAGCTGACTTGCTCTTCCAGATTTATTTCCGCAAATTTCTATCATTATAAGCAACAAAAAATGGCAACTTTTCCTCTCCAGCGTGCTTTTCAATAATTTTATTTAATTTAACAATAGCATCTTAAAACAAATACAGGGAATTCCAATGGGAGGTAATTTTTCAAGTTCGGTCTGTGAATTATTCCTTTTTACAAAAGAATTGACCTTTGTCCGTTCACTCAGTAAAGAAGAACATAAATTTTACCAACATATCTATAGATATATTGATGATGTTATTGCATTTAATAACTGTAACAAAATAGAAGTTGCTAATATCTACCCTACATGCTTAAAACTAAATAATACAAATACAGTGCAACATAATGTAGTCTACCTTTATTTACATATTATTGATTACAATTTTATGAAAGTTTACGACAAAAGAAGAGAATTTAATTTTTCAACACTAAAATTAACCAACTGGAATTCAAATATTTCTAAAAGAGTCATACTTAACACAATTTATTCACAGCTACTCAGAATAAAAAGAATCTGCAATACTACAAAACACGTTCAAGGAGAAATACTATACTTCGTAACTATCTTGAAAAATAACCGAATTCTTCATAAAATAATTAAAAATACATTAAAAAAAGCTGGCATTATTTTTAGATTTTTTGAGTTAAGATAGTGATATTTTATGCTTAAAGCCCAATGGGACGGTATAAAGTGGATGGCTGATTCAGAGAATCTAATGTAAAAAATGTACAGATAATTCTTGTCGTTACATTTTCTTTCCTCCAAAAAATTTGGGCACAATACTTTTAATACTATTGTTTAAATAGTTTTAAATTACTTTGATGGCCAATTTTACTACTTTTATTAACAAATCGGGCCTTTTCGTTTTTCATTGTAGCTTGATCGCCCTCTAGCTTGAAGAATTACGACTTTTATTAACAAATGACTGTTTTTTCCTTTTTACTCTTACTTTTATGGCCATGTTGAGTAATTTTAGCTGAATTAGCCATTTTCACTTTTAGAAGCAGTTTTTTCTTCAAACAACTTGATTGACGCCATTTTGAAATCTTTCCACGTCTTTTCGAGTCTTCCGACCCCCCTTTGAAAATTAGGGACGAGTTACAGCCAACGGACAGTCTAATCGCATTGGCTATTGCCCAGTGACATAGTTCCCCCCTACTTACGTCACATGACGAGTGGGATGGCGATAAAGGACACTGAGGGGAATTGCAACCCCTTTTCAACTTGTTACACGATGGAGAACTCTACATAACCACAGGTCTGTTTTTTCAGTTTCTTTTACAACAAAATTTTTTTCTTGGTTTTAGCAAGACCCACTGTGTTTGTTTTCGTTTAAATTTAATTTCAGTTTTCTAAAATTTATAAAGGTATAATTCTTTAAGCTTGCAGGTCCAGCCCGTAAATTATTGTATTTTTTGACTAATAGCAGACTTTTAATACTATTGTTTAAATAGTTTTAAATTACTTTGATGGCCAATTTTACTACTTTTATTAACAAATCGGGCCTTTTCGTTTTTCATTGTAGCTTGATCGCCCTCTAGCAATAATAAATAGCAGACTGCTATTTATTTTTATTTTTATCTTAATTCTTGTACATCGGAATTGTTTTTACATCTTTTAACAAATCTTTTAACAAAATTAATTTAAACATCTTTTAATGTGTCATTTTGTGCGGACGCGTCGGGAAATTGGAACAGAGAATTGAGATTAATAAATTTTCTAAGACAATTCGTCTATTTAATTAAAATTTCTAACTCAAAAGTTTCAATTGTCTGTCGGCGAAACGCGTAATGGAGTTACCTTAATTCGACGTTCAGCTAGAAATTTCCCTTGAAAAGCCAGGTTGGACTTCGGGTTAAGCTAATTTACCATTTTCCGCTTTATATTTTTATATGTTTATGTTTGTTTTTTGTTTTAACTTGTTCCATCGATTGCTTTTTTTCTATGTTTTAACTTTACACTTGTCACATCGATAGGTATTTACTGTATTTTTTGCCGTTACTAGTTTCCAATGATTAGTATTTTGCTTTGTTTAATTTAACGTGTAGCATAATTTTTCACCCTTCAATGGCATTGTTTTTAAAAATGTGTTGAACTTTTCTTGGAGCCACAGCTCCTGGTAACTTTTTGGCGAGCTTTCTACAATTTCTCATATCTTTAATTTTGCAGCATATTGCGCAAAATAATTCTTTAGACCAAATTGGTCTTACGGTATTGTACTAACTACTTTGCTTGTTAATTATATATATATAGTGCAAGGTCTGTAAAATCCGGACCTCAAAACCACAAACTTTTTTGTATGCTTTACGCATGTACTACCATTACACCACAAAGGCATGCTTGTAGAAGGGAGAAAATACCTTATATATCCCATACGTATCCCCATATTATGATTGTGATGTTCTGTGATGCAGATGATCACTTTCAGCATGACAAGGCACCTTGTCGCCGTTAACAGTTGATCTGAAATGAATTTCAAAAACATGATTCAGAGTTCAAATTGCTTCTTTGGTCAACTTAGTCCTCTGCCTTCATTCGAATTAGGCAGCTTGTATGGGATGAAGTGGAAAGATTACTTCAGATCTTAGAAACACCCCCATTCAATCTGAATTTTGTAAATAAAATAAAAAATGTATTACAAAATAGAGTTGCTATTATATTAACATGGACAAATATTTCTCAGGAATGGTTCTGGCGCCTTGGTGAGTCTGTGTGTAGAAGAGTATCAATTGTAATCGAAGCTAAAGGTGGACTATTGCATTATAAGAGGCCATCTGTAATATTTTCGTTACTTATTGTACATGGTGCATGTAAATAATTTTTCAAAATTTTCTGTGTGCAGTTAGTCTGTGTAAAATTTAAATATATGCGGTTTAAATTATGTTTGAAGATAGAAACAGAAATACTATTAACTATAAATGTATCCTCAAATCTCTGAAGTTGCTGCATTAATATATTGTAAGAATAGATTTAAATTTTTATTTCACATGATTTGGTATTCAAAGTATGTATCCAAATATGAGTAAGTATTCAAAGTATTCTCTTTATTTCAGGAAGGCAATACTGCTCTCATGTATGCTGCTTACAACAACCATTCTGGATGCACACAGGAATTGTTAAATGCTGGTGCTGATTTAACAGCAATGAATGAAACTTTTGATTCAGCATATGATATTGCTGTTAAAAGGAGAAGTAAAAATGGTACATACTTTAAATCTCATTTAAAATATTATACATACAAGAAAATATATCGTAAAAAATTAAATTTTACTCTCGTGAAAATGAAATTAATTTCTATGTGAATTTATTTGTTTAAAAAATATTAGGAATACATTTATGCATGCCAACAATATTTAAAGAAATTTGCCAAAACTGTATTAAGTATATTTGGTATACACTGAAGTGGCAAAAGTCATGGAATAGCAATATGCAAATATACAGATGGCAGTAGTATCGCGTAGAAAATGTATAAATGTGAAGTGCTTTGGCAGGGCTTTCATTTGTGTTCAAGTTATTCATGTGAAGAGGCTTTGACGTGATTATGGCCACACAACGAGAATTAACAGACTTTGAACGCGGAATAGTAGTTAGAGCTAGACGCATGGGTCATTCCATTTCGGATACCGTTAGGGAATTCAACATTCCGAGATCCACAGTGTCAAGAGTGTGCCGAGAGTATCTAATTTCAGGCATAACATCCCACCATGGACAGCGCAGTGGCCGACCACCTACACTTAACAACCGAGACCAGCGACGTCTGCGTAGAGTTGTCAATGTTCACAGACAAGCAACACTGCGTCAAATAACCACAGAAATCAATGTGGGACGTATCCGATAGGACAGTGTGGCGAAATTTGTCTTCCTTGGGCTATGCCAGCAGAAGACAGACTCGAGTGCCTTTACTGACAGCACGACATCACCTGCAGCGACTCTCGTGGGCTCGTGAGCATATCGGTTGGTCCCTAAACGAATGGAAAACCGTGGCTTGGTCAGATGAGTCACGATTTCAGTTGGTAAGAGCTGATGGTAGGGTTCGAGTGTGGCGCAGACCCCACGAAGCCGTGGACCCAAGTTGTCAACAAGGCACTGTTCAAGCTGGTGGTGGTTCCATAATGGTCTGGGCTGTTTTTACATGGCATGGACTCGGTCCTCTGGTGCAACTGAACCGATCATTGACTGGGAAAAGATACCTTCAACTACTTGGAGATCACTTACAGCCATTCATGGACTTTACGTACTCAAACAACGATGGGATTTTTATGGATGACAATGCGCCATGTCACTGGGCCACAATTGTTCGCGATTTGTTAGAAGAACATTCTGGACAATTCCAGCGAATGATCTGGCCACCTAGATCGCCCCACATGAATCCCATCGAACATTTATGGGACATCATCGAGAGGTCAGTTTGTGCCCAAAACCCTGCACCGTCAACACTTTCACAATTATGGACGTCTATAGAGGCAGCATGGCTCAATATTCCTGCAGGGGACTTCTAACGACTTGTTGAGTCCATCCCACGTCGAGTTGCTACACTTCGCCGGAAAGGGGACGACAAAAATTGGAGATCCAGCTTTTCCCGGTATACCAAGAATATTGTAAGAAACCGTCCTTGGATATGAGAAAAAGAACATATAAAAATTATTAGCCAAAAAAAATATTTAAATATTTTGTCTACAAAAATTGTTATAACGAATTTGGTATTTAAAAAGCTAATGTTAGTTCAATTATAAATTAAATGGTTTTATTTCTCGCGCAGTGCAGCGCGTGACGAATATTAAAAGAAAGCTAAGCCGGAAAATTGAAAATACAAGAGCGCGTGCATTAAATAAATATCTCTTTTTGATTTCGAGAAAGTACTGGAAAATTCTAGCGCGTGATTTTAAAATCTTATAAAAGGAGGAAAACATCTCAGTTCGTAGTAGTTGTTGCTTAGTTTGTTGTTGTTTAGAAAACTGCTCTTGTTGATTGTAGCGAATTCGCGGATTAGCGTTCTTTAGCTGTTTTGAATTACGTTCTATTGGACATTTGAGTAGTTAAAAGATAACTACTGTGAGATATTGTAATACTGCATGATAATTTGAGAAAATTTAAGCATTTTTGTTGTGATAATAATAAATTTTTGTTCATTTTTCATCGGACTTGTGCATTCATTTCATAACGAACCCGTACGCACGCAACAATTTTTGGTGTCAGAAGTGGGATTTGAATGCCAATAACAAGAGCGATGGAAGAGCAATTAAGGCAGTTGATCTCAGCCTTTGCCTCGTTTAAAGAAGATGAAATGGAAAAAAGCGGCCAAGAATCCGTTAAGAAATCCGTTAAAGACGAAATTGAAAGGTCAAGAACGAAATGAAAAGAGAAATTGCCTGCATAATAGAAAATAAAAAATTCGATGCTATGGAAGGCAGAATAGATGTGGTTGAAAATAAAGTTGGGCAAATTGAAGAAAAGTTTCTTCCGTGAAAGAGTCAAATAGAAGAAAGAGTTTCTTCGTGAAAAGAAATAGAAGAAGAGTTTTCTGTAAAGACCGAAAAATAGAAGGAAGAGTTTCTTCCGTTAAACAAAAGTCGAACAACAAATTGATGATAGGGTTTCAGCCGTTGCGAAAGAAGTTGACACTTTAAAGAAGAGCATAGCGAACGGCAAGGGAAGCAAGTGATGGGTTTTAAATTCTTACCGATGCCTGCTCGTCCATCTCTGAAGATATCCACATATGATGGGAAGACATCCTGGCAAGTGTATAAAACACAATTTTCTATCGTTTAGGATGCGAATGGATGGGATTCCCAAACTAAGGCCTGTCCATCTCGCCGCTTCTCTGAGAGCAGACGCAGCGGATATCCTGCAGACGCTTCCAGAAAACCAAAGACTTGACTTCGAAGCTCTTATCCGGCGCATTGGAACTGCGCTTTGGCGAGAAATGTTTAAAAGACTACAGCAGGCTTCAATTAAAATCCCGTCAACAGAAGCCCACCGAATCACTTCCAGGAACTCGCCACGGATGTTGAAAGGCTGTCCCATCCTCGCCTTTACGGAGTGCCCGAGAGAAACAAGGGAAATCCTGTCCCTGCAGTACTTTATCGATGGCATCCGGGATCCCTGAAATACAGAAAGGCTCTACGAATGGCGGATGTTAAAGATTTGAAAAGTGCTCTAGTTTGTACGCCATGAAATTCGAGGCAGCCCAGCAAGCCACTCGTCGAGACCGCCACCCAGTCAGAGCTGCTCAGTCCAGAGCCAGGGATCAAGTGATGGCTCGTTTAGACGATTTAACTAGACAACTCGAACGCTTTGAGACGGAATAGGTGAGAAGAAAGTGGCTTAAGTGCTGGAATGTGGTGCTGAAGGACACCTACGACGAAATTGCAGAACACCCCAGGGTACGGATAATAAAGCGGATGATTTTAAGACCAGTGAATGCTTGAGACGGAATATGGTGAAAGAAACTTAAAGTGCTGGAACTGCGGTGTTGAAGGCCACAGAAGGAACTGCAGAACACCCCAGAGCACGGAAAATAAGTTTAAACAGACAATTAAATGGGAAGGAAAAGGAGTGACAAGAAACCAAAGTGCTGGAACTGTGGAGCTGAAGGCCACGTACGAAAGAATTGCAGAACACCCAGGGTACGGAAAATTGAGACATTTCTCAGCAACGACGCAGGAAACAAATTAATGACCATATCAAGGAACGGAGGTTGCCAGATAATGAAAAACCTTGTTTTAAAGCGCTTAAGATTTCTATAGTGAGTGGCAACAGTAACGGACTGTCCATCAATGGGCATATCGATGGAGTTCCTTGCAATATGATCATTGACACAGGAGCTAATGTTACCATCATTAGGAAAGATTTAGCTGAACAGTTTAAAGATAAACTTATTTGGACGCCATCCTGTGTTACCCTTCAGACTGCGTCTGGTGATAAGATCGACATAGCTGGGAAGTTAAACGTGAACATCACGTTTGGAAGTGCCGCCTACCATCACACGGCTTGTGTGGCGGATATTACAGATCCATGTATACTCGGACTGAACTTTTTAAGAGAATACAATTTTTCCTTAGACTTGAAAAACAACAAACTGCTTTTAGCATCTGATCACATGACTCTCCATCCTCAACAGGGATCCTCGCCTGGAAACGCCGACGTCTCATGTGAAAGACCCTATTCAGAAAGCTGCCGAAATCCTACTAGAGTCGAAAGAAACACCAGACTACCGGGTATTCACCATCACAGATGCTCTCCGGTCGAGACCTTCGTCTGCCTTGTGACCGCTTGTTTGATCGCCATACGGATGCGCCTTCATCGCCTGAGGAACATATCCAAGATGTCCAGGCCCGTTTTGAAGTGATGCACCGTTCCGCACGAAAGCGAGTGAACTTGGCGACGGAGAAAGTGAAGACCAGATACAACGCGAGAGCTACTGGACATAGATTCAACAAAGGAGACAAGGTGGGGTTGTGGAATACGACTCGACGGAAAGGACTTTGTCCGAAATTACAGTCATCTTGGGATGGCCCGTACACAGTCCTAAACAGGTTGAATGACGTCGTGGTTCGGATTCGTAAGTCTTCGAACTTACGAACTTACGAATCAACCATAAATAATATATGGTTGATAATTTTTACAAAAGTAAGCAATAGATTGTTGCGAGAAAATAGTGATGGATTTAGAAATCCCAGATTTAGAATTTTTCTAAAAATATATCTACATCAATTTAAGGTGGCTCTTGTTGCTTAGTAGATAAAAACGTTGGCGTCTTGAGTTAAAGGTTTTAGATTCAAGCGTCACCAGGAATGGTGTTGGTATTTAGTAATGGAGTTTGTATTTAAATAAAAATATTTACAGAAATCGGTAGTTTCAGAGTAGCCCAGGTGCTTCTTCAGTTTCCTGAAGGGGTGAAGTGTGAAAAGTATGCTTATCCGCAAGATACCTTAGCGCGGAAGTAAAATGCTTTAGTAGAAAATTTATCTTTTACTAGGGACTTGTATTGCAGGTTCGGGCCTTGCTTTTTCCTCTACCTTTGATGATGGTACGAATACATGTTTTTTTATATGCATAACATACACCTGTATTGATACATATAATTGACATGATTATATATTGAAAATATATGTATGTGTGCATGTGTGTATATACACATGCACGCATATATATATATACACACACACACGCATATAGAGAGAAATTTTGTAAAGTTCGAG